GCTAACTCGCAGATTGAACCCTAAAACAACCTCTGGGCTGATCTAAGTCAGGGCATGGCTAACTCGCAGATTGAACCCTAAAACAACCTCTGGGCTGATCTAAGTCAGGGCATGGCTAACTCACAGATTGAACCCTTAAACAACCTCTGGGCTGATCTAAGTCAGGGCATGGCTAACCCACAAATTGAAGCCTGTAACAATCTCTGGACTAATCTATGTCAGGGCACGGCTAACTCACAGATTGAACTTTGTAACAACCTCTGGGCTGATCTAAGTCGGGGCATGGCTAACTCACAGATCGAACCCTGAAACGACCTCTGGGCTGTTCTAAGTCGGGACATGGCTAACTCACAATTCAAAAACAAAAATACTCACTCTACTTCTATTTCTACAAAGATGTTGCACAAAGTATGTTTTGCCACTGATTGCAATTAACTAACTCTTAAAACTTACCGAGAACAATTACTAGTACCTAGTCCTGAGAAGTTGAAACGTCGAAGAGCAAACCTCAACTGATATGCCCTTACGGCGAAATGGATATTCATACATATTTATTCAAATGACAAAGTAAAGCTTGAATGTCTGAGTTAAAGTACTTTCAAATAAAATTGGAGTTTAGAATTGCTTAATTGCGCGTGAATTATTTGAAGAGTGTGAAAAGAGGACACAGATTAATAAGTATAAGATATTTCACGGAGGTACAGGTCGCTATATTTCAGGATATCGCCGGATGAAATTTGAAGGTTTTTTAAATCTCTAATAATTTGCATTTCACTGAACTGTTGAACGGGGATTTTTTTGAATCTGTTATTTGTCGAGATTTTAGTTTTCCAACTCGTTTAGTTTTAATCTGAACGTACAAGTTTTATCTGCTTAAAACGATATCAGTGATTTGGAAATTTTTAATTGGGAAACTTTAAAATTGAGAAACAGAAACCTGAGTAATATATAAAACAGCGCGGATAACGTATCCAAGCAAGCCAACACCAGCAAAATAGACGTCATGTTCATCAGCGCATCGTTCTTTTTCCCTATTGATAATTACATTTAGAGCTTGTCAGTAAAGAACCAGCTTCGATTTTTTATAAGTGAGATGAATTTAGTGATGTTTTTGAAGATTAATGAATATAATAAATATTTATGCAAAGTAATATTTTTATTTAGAGTTATTCATATAGGTTGGCTTTTGTTTAACGTGCTCATCAAGCGAGGACCAATGGTCTGTACTTAGGTAAACGTCCTCGTCCTCGTCGGGTTTGAAATTGGTCGTAGTTTAAGTCAGTCCAAATGTGTCAATCATCTTCAAATGCTATTATATAATGAAATATAAATATAATGAAATATAAATATAATGACCTTGGAGACAGATTTCCTAAGATATGTCAATATTTACTTTACAAACGGGATTTTTTCGCCTGTTTTTCGTGTTTTCTTTTCACTTACGAATATTACGTTTAGACTTTGAAAAAATAGCACCTTGAATGTGAATTATACCGGACGTAAAATAATCAAAGTAAAAATGGGGTCCACGATCTATAGTGCGTAACATATATCCGTGAAAAAGTTAGCCAATAAAATTGTGAATTAGTGAAGAAGTTTGGAGGTCTACGGCCTACTGAGGAAAATTGTACAATTAACAGTATAACAGTTTATCTTTCCATTAGATATTTGTTATTCATTATATAGATATCGATGAAATACCAGGTTTTCTCTAGTGTTGAAAACTTGATATCTTTCAGCAGTGGAAGATACCATATCTTTSACACGTGAAGATATCGCTGTTGAATCGGCTTGCTATTGTAATAAAGAATTTTTGAGCTTTTGTTTTATTTAAGTTTCATCGATATCTATATAATAAACAGAACATTACATGGCCGCTTGGAGATACGAATTTTATCTTCTCGTGTTCAATTTAGATATCAATTGAACGCTAGAAGATAAAATTCGTATCTCCAAGCGGTCATGTAATATCCTCTATTTATCATATAATTATCCATAAAATACCTATATTTCTCCTTTTCGAAAAGCTGATATTTTCACATGCGAAAATAGCATGTTATTTTCACATGTGAAAATATCGTTTCCATGTGTATTTAAGCTATTAGTTTATAAATAAAAACTTTTTATAATAATAAAAAGCTTGTTAAGTTGATTTTATGGATAATTTTATATATATAAAAAAAAAGAATATTACATGGGCGCGCGGAGATACGAAATTTTTCTCTCGTGTTGAAAATCTCTCACTTGTGAGATATCTTTTCAACACTCGAAGATAAAATTCGTCTCTCCACGCGCCCATGTAATATCCTCTATATACAAAATATATACATATGAATGGTATTTATGATAATGGAGAGGAAACATTTACCATTGTAATTCTTACCAGAAACTCTCCAGATTATTCGATGTTACGTGAAATGTGTGGCGTTCAGATAGTGATTACAGTCAATTCAAAAAACGTCGTCAACCGGCTCAAGCCTACGCGACTGGACCGAAACTAACTCTAGGTAAAAATCACTGAAGCTGTTAAATATTCGTTCTGAATTAATTGTTCCCGCTAGTAATAAGATAATAATGGCGAGAAACAATCCATCAAATGCATGTCTTTGGGTTTCGGGAAAGGAAAACAAAGTAGTTATGATTCAGTTCACAATTTCTAAAATATGAAGGCATTAAAAAAAAAAGTATCCTTCGACACTTCCCGCTCGCCTACGAAGGTTCGTGCTGCAAACCAGGCATAACTAGTCCGATTATGGAGTCAACTCGGCTTCAATGATTACTACCCAGAGTTCCTTTCGGTCCAGTCGCGTAGGCTTGAGTCACTCGAGTGGTCGACGACAACGTTTTTTGAATTGACTGTATTTATTTCATATCACTTGACTGCCATTTCAAAATGAACACATCACATTTAGGAATCTTTGCTGCAGCAGTTTTCTACTTTTCCAAGTTTTTTGTTGTTGTCGATCTTCAAGCAACTTTTGTAAATTAAAGGGGCACTTGGATGAAAACGCCCCAATTTTTGAAAGTACGAGTAATTGAAGTATTTGAGGATAATATGACTCACTTATGATTATGTAAACCAGATAAGTGAACATTATAGCCTGGGAGCCACTTGCAGTTGAGAAATTTTGGTTCAAAGGCAGAAAGAACAATAGGGTTGAGTAAATGACGTGATTTACTCACAATTTAGATGCTGAATAGAATTGATAATTTTTATCCGACACATTTTACTGTGAAGAAAATATGTTGTTTGGCTACTATTGGGGCAATATAGATACGTTAAACTTAAGTTTAAAGAAATTTCCAATTTTTATCCATTTTCATCCAAGTGCCCCTTTAATAGAAAGGGCTGTTGGAAAAATGTGAAGTCTAATAACTTTACTGAGATGGAGGAGGAGAAGGAGAGGAGGAGGAGGAGGAAGAAAACAAAGTCACCATTACATCAGTCTTTATTTTTCAATCGTGCTTATTTTACTACAGTTTCATTTTTATTGGATCAAGAACAATTACTAAGATCAGAATTTGCTGTCTAGCTAAGGGATTGACGTTTTAAAAACGCAAAGCTGTCTTAAGTCATTTCAGTATCCTCTTGTAAATGCAGAGGTGAAAGGTTCACAAAAAGTAGCCATAACCATCAGCACAAACGCGACCTCTGTTATCACCCTCGGCGTAATCCAGCAGATCTTCACCGTACCATAGTTTAAGGATGGATTGGGGGCCAACGTAGAGTGGGACGTTGAAGCCGCGCTGAAGAACGAGGTATTTTGATCTGGAGTCAAATCCAGGGATCCTGTACCACTTGCCGTTCTTGTGGACACCCTCGGTGAAGCTGTTGAGAAGAACAAGAAAACATTCCTATTTCTAGTATTATTTCACAAATACTGAACGTGCATTAAACCAGGAGAAAAAACTCTCGAAGCACAGGAGAAAACCAACGAGCAACTCTAATCGCATACAACTTCTGAACACCGATTCTGCAGGAATCAACTTTGAACATCAACTCCTTTTTCAAATTAACCAAATTTCTCTACATCGGCGTGAAGTCGCATAAAAAACTTCTACTAATAGACTGTATAAAACAGTACGAACATTTGGAAGGTTGATTTTTTTTGTGAGAAAAGACCTCGAACAAAGCACAGGAGAGAACTGACAAGCAACTCTTTTCACATATGATGGCGAGTCTGAGTACCAAACCCAAGAGCACATGTGACAAAACGTATTTGTTGATTTCATCCTTCCTTCCTGTCATCATCATCATCATCATCATATTCCCCATCACCATCATCTTCTTCATCATCATCATCTTCATCATTATCATCACCATCA